TTGCTAGGGCTGCCATAACAAAATATTGCAGACTTGGAGATGGTATTAAGTAACAGAAATGTATTTTCTCAAATCCTGGAGGCTGGAAGTCCAATATCAAGGTATCAGTGGGGTTGGATTCATTCTGGGCCTCTTCCCTGGGCTTGCAGAAGGCTGTCTTTTCATGAGACCATGTCCTCACTTAGTCTTTATGCAAACATCCCCAATATCTCTCTTCAACCTTATCTCTCTTCTTATAAGGATACCAGTTGGATGGATTCATTTTAATTATCTCTTTAAAGGCCTGTCTCTAAATACAGTCATATTCTGTGGTACTGGGGTTTGGGGCTTTAACATGTGAATTTCATGGAGTACACAATTCAGCTCATAACAGTTTCCCCTGTGTGCTATTAAACCGCAGACAGGGAAAGGCATTTGTGATCAGAAGCCATAGCTATATACTCCAGGCATGTATCTTTCTAGTGCCATACCTGGGGCCAAGATGTGCTTCTGGGAATTGAGAGATGAAATGATGTCATATTCCTTAGGCCACCATCTCCAAATAACAATCTTCTCACCCAGAATGTCAACTCATTCTCCTTTAAAGTGAAGTCTCTCAGTCGTGTCTGACTCTTTGCGACCCCCTGGACTATAGCCTACCAGGCTTCTCCATCCATGGGATTTTCCAGGCAACAATACTGGAGTGGGTTGCCATTTCCTCCTCCAGGGGATCTTCCCGACCCCGGGACTGAACCTGGATCTCCTGCATTGCAGGCAGACGCTTTACTGTCTGAGCCTGGTAGCAAAGGCAAGGCAAGTTCAAACCCGAGATTTGAAGCCCACTGAGCAGATCAGCCTTATTTTCTCTCCTCCTTTGTTCCTGTGACTCCGCTTCGTTCAGACTTCTCTCCCCCAGGTCCCCATACTCACTCCCACTTCTCTGATTTTGTTCACACTGTCCCTCCTGCTGGCAATACCTTGTTTTTATTAACCCCAACATCATCCTAAGAATCTATATTCTGCTTATCTCAACCAAGACCTAACTCATCCTCAGAACCATCTCTTAACACTCATTCTTCCTTAACACTATTCTCTTCTGTTTTCAAATCCAGTCACACTTGAAACTGACATCCCAAAATTGAAAATGCAGTTCTTCTGTTTCATAGGTCTTAGGGATTGTCTCAGGAATGACATCCTAAAGGTAAGGGTCAGGGAACAAGTGACCTATCCCTTCTGTAGCTGTGACATCTTAATATAGTGGGAGCACACAGTAGGTGCCCAATAATGTCTCTGCTGCTTGATTGACAGATGTATTTTGTTCCCCTTTTCCCACCTCTAAACTGTTTTTCCAATTTTATGTACAGCTGCACTTTTAGTATCTGGAGCCAAACCTGAGGCTGCAGCATATCACCCAAGCTGTGTACAACATTTACAATAAAGTTGAAGATAGATGGTTAAAAAGGAACCCTAATCATCTCTGATATTATTAAATCCTCTAGTTTGAGTTCTCAGAGAGCCCAAGAAAATTTTCTTTTAATCTCTATGGGCTTTCTGTTCCATAGATGAAGTTATAGAGCTGGCCTGAGAAGTAATTTTGTGAACTCATTTACCAAAGGGGATGGGGGAGACTCATTGTAGTCATCCTTCCGAGGTTTGCAAGTAATAAGCATGCTCTGTTCTCTTCAAGCCCAGAAGAGCTGTGTGGGCTTGATAAATAGCCAAGCTTGGCCTGAGTGCAGCTTCTAAAATGCTGTCTGTAAATACTGCTGAAGAGAACCATCAAAAAGTTGGTGGGTGTCGCTGATGAGTGACTGTGGGTGCTTTTGTTAGCAAACAGGGCAGCAGCCGTCTCTCTCCACTCCGTGAATGACTAGCCTGCTACAGGGACTATAATTCCCTTGTTTTCCTGGTGACTGTCTTAACCAATATGACGTCTTTGATTTTTTTAAATCAAATCAAATTAATTGGTTGTGTTTGGCCATGCTGGTTCTTCACCATTGCACGGGTTTTCTCCAGTTGTGGTGCTCAGGCTTCTCATTGCAGTGGCTTCTCTTGTTGTGGAGCACAGACTCTGGGGCACACGGGCTTCAGTGGTTGCAGTTCCTGGACTCTGGAGCACAGGCTCAACAGTTGTGGTGCAAGGGCTTATTTGCTCCGAGGCATATGGGATCTTCAAGCAGGGTTTGAACCTGAATCTCCTGTATTGACAGGTGAATTCTTTACCACTGAGCCACCGGGGAAGCCTCAATACACCTTTTTATGTAAGTGGTGGTTCTCAGCTAGGGAAGGTTTTGCCTTCTCCCCATCCCTCCTGGGGAACATTTGACAATGGCAGGAAACAGTTTTTATTGTCATAGTTGGCAGTGGGGGCGGGGCACTATTGGTTTAGTGGGAGCAAAACCACCCCAAAGGGGTGAAAATTGGTTCTTGGAGGATTTTTTTTTAAGTCTTACACTTTTAATATGTGTAAAGCACAAATATACATACAGGACATAGATAGATGATAGGTGGGTAGGTAGGTAGATGGTATATCTGTGGGACTGAAGTTTCACAGAGGAGGTTAATTAAGAAAAAAGTAGTTAAAAAAATCCATATGGGACAATAATTTTAAACAGTTGAAAAGACTACTTTGTAGAAACTTCTCCCCCACTCCACTTACTTGCCAATATATATCCTAATTAATTCCTTCCAGAACTTACTGCAGTTGGAGAATACCCTACTTACTTTTGTTCACTTGAGTTTTTCTTTTTTTGGTGGGGGGGGGGTAATTTTAAAAATTATGACAGTATGATAACACATTTACAGGAGACTTGGAAAATATGGAGTAAGGTTACATATAGTTCCACTATATATTACAATTATTTTTTAAGTAGATAAATTAATATTTTTAGTTGGAGTTTTGATATCAATCTCTCAAAAATTAATAGAATGAATATATAGAAAAGTAGAAGGATATAGCAGACCTGAAAAGCACTATGAACCAATTCAACATAATTCAGATTTATATAATTTTCACACAACAGTAGGACAACATATTCTATTCAAGTTCCCATAGACTATAAACTAGGAGACACTGGAACATATCCAGGAACATAAAACAAGGTGCAAACATTTCATGTCTAAAGGTGTCCCTTGAGTTTTTCTGCCCCACCCCTCTGAACGTGAGCTTGACCCTGAGAGACCTTGGCCATCTGCTTGCCACTGTGACCCCCAGCAATGCATAGCGTTGGGCATGCAGTTGTTATTCAGCTCACATTTGGTGATTCAAGTGCACTGTAACCAAGGAATGATTTCCAACATCAGACCAAGGACCCACTGGATCAACCAGACCCCTCTTCAACTTTAAGCCCCACTTCAGTGCTACTAGATTTGTTGGATCCCTTTTGGAAATAAGTTGAAGTCCCCTTCTTCGCTCCACAGTCAAGTTACTCTCTTATACCTGGTCTCAACTAGCCCAAGTTTACTCTTCTCTCCAACCTCTGAGACCAGTCATTCTACAGTCTAGCCCTTTTCTCTTCCAATGAGAGACCACAGTGAATACCATACAGATGTCTGACCCATTAAATTAAAACATTTTCAAGAAAAATATAACCATAGGCTAACCATCTTGGAAATTACACAGCAGAGGAAATGTATGATTATCTGATTTGACTTAGCGATCAATGGAATTACAGTGAACATGGGCAGAAGAAAAAAGACTGGAAGGAAGTAATCCAAAATATTAACAGTGTTACCCATCTCTGGAATGGGGATTTTCACTTTATTTTTTCCTATGTTTTTGGCTAATTTAGGAGTTTCTTATAATAAGCACGCATTTCTTTTACCATAGAGAAGGGGTTTTGGTGGCTGGGTTTTTAAAGCACCATTTATGATATTGCCATGTCAAGGAGGCATATATAGGCTTGATCCACGGATCCAGGACTGGTCCTATTTGATTACGTGGTGACTCCCACAAAAATATTTTGGGTGGGAGGGATTTCTGTGCTCAGGAAAGCCATTGGATTGTGGCCAACCGAGTCCATTAGGCAAACAGCACCAAGTTTCATGCCAGGATGAAGGCTACTATTTGTCCCAAGAATATTTTATATTTGTTAGATTTTTCACAAGTGTCCATGATTCCCCAAAATACAAGACATTCATTCATGCTAAATGCAAAAACTGACCAATCAAACAAAAGAACACAAGCCCACATCTTTTACAGTATTTTCCAAGGGCTTCTTGGCTGCCTGAAGTCAAGTTCATGACATCCGGACCAAGGAAGATTTCCTAATGAAATGTCTCTTGAAACCTAGACCACATTTCTTCATTTCTTCCTCACAGGTAGCTTCCATGACTGACTTCCCAAATATCCAAAACCACTCCTGTCCTGAAAAATTTTCTAGGTACTCCCTCCTCCTAGCCCATCTCCTCTGAACCATCACAGCCAGTTCACACTTCAGTATTTGAGGAGTTCTTGTTTTGTGTGATCAAGGAATGCTTTCAAATACTAGAACTTTGGCAGATCAGTTAATAAAAAGACTCAAACACTAGATCAGGCAATTCATGAATAATTACAGTGCCCAGGGTGAAGCTAACAACGTCTGGAAGGGGATCCAAGCACCCGGGCTTGGCACACAGATTGTTTCAGCTCTGAGTCACTGTCTGCTCTGACCTTGGTCTCATATACAAGTATACACTCATATGCAAGTGAGGATGTAATTAATGCTGCAACAGTGTACACGCTCTCTTGTAGTTAAGGCGAATCATACATGCCGGTCAAAATTTGGTGACCTACTGGGAAGGGTTCATGGCATTCACGGCACAAGAGGCATATTGACACGTGGTTTAAGAACCACTAGGAAACTTAAAGTATGTCTTATATTCATAGCACTCCATACTCCAGGACAATGACATTTAGGATCCTCTTTTAAAACAAACGAACCTGGGGGGTAAGGATCCCTTAAGAAAAGATTAGGTCTGGCGACCCAAATCTGCCAGAATTAAAAGGAAGAGACTACCTGCCGGGGGAAACTCATCCTTACCTCCTCCAGGGCCCACAGAGAGTCCACCACGGGCTTGATCTTCTTCTGGTTGTAGAGTGCAATCAGCTTGTCCACCACTCCCCGAATGAGGCCAGCACGGCCCTGTTTGAAGAGCAGGTTTAGAAGGGAAAACCCAGCGATGACTTTGTTCTCTTCGTATAGCTTGATGGGGTTCACCTTCTCGACTTGCCACCACTGGAAAGAGAGCAGGTGTGGGTGACAAGGCGTCAGCGCTGGGCAGGCTGGGGGGATTCCAGCTGGCCCGGAGGTACCTCTGGCTGGTGTAGTTTTGTAAGGGCCTCCTAGGCTGGGCGCTGCCATGAATGCACAGCGCTGCTTCTAAGATGCCCAGGATCTAGGTTGGGGGGAGCCCTTTATGAAGACAGCCCCTAGGCCACATGTGACCAGAATGCTGAGTCACACAGTTGGAGTCGTGATCTGGAGCTGGATCCCGCCTGACTATCTGCTCCCAGTCACTCTCCAGGCTTCATTTTCCTCAGTGACAGACCGTGGCAGGATGCTGCCTCTGAGGTCTCCTGGGAGAATTTAGCCTAAAGCACTTGGCTTAGTGGATGGTGGTGGTGCTGGTGATGGGCTGGTGGAGGGAGCAGGGGGCAGAGAAGTCCAAGCGAGATGGGGGCGGGGTGGGGTGCCTGTGGAAGCAGCTTTCCTTGCAGGGGACAGCAGCAGGGCTGGGGAGGTGGGTCGGAAAACACGAGATAAAGAAGAGAAGAGAAGCGTAACAGGAAGAAGGAACAGCATGACGGAGTGATGAGGCCAGAGGGTTGGGACTAAATTGGCGGTTCTCAGCTAGGGGCAGTTTTACCCTCCCCCCTCCCAAAGGACGTTTGGTAAATGTTTGGGGATGTTTTTTTGTTGTGATAACTCAAGGCAGGGAATGAACTGGCATCTACTGGGTAGAAGCCAGTGTGTGTGCTCACTCGGGTCCAACTCTTTCCTACCCCTTGGACTGTAGCCTGCCAGCCTCCTCTGTCCATGAAATTTTCTAGGCAAGAATGCTGGAGTGGGTTCCGGGAGTATTTCCTACTCCAGGGATCTTCCCAACCCAGGGGTAAAACCCATCTCTTGCATCTCCTCATTGGCAGGTGGACTCTACCACTGCACCACCTGGGAATTGGGAAAAAGCCAGGGATGTTGCTAAATATCCTGCAATACACAGGGCAGGTCCTTGAGACAAAATCATCCATCCCCAAATGTCACTGGCACTAAGGTCCTAAGTGGGGAACCCACATCTGACAAGTACAGCTGCCTTCTTTCCTGTCTCTCGTCTTCCACTTTCGACATGAAAAGTAAGTGAAAGTGAAAGTCGCTCAGTCATGTCTGACTCTATGTGACCCCATGGACTATACAGTCCATGGAATTCTCCAGGCCAGAATACTGGAGTGGGTAGCCTTTCCCTTCTCTGGGGGTCTTCCCAGCCCAGGGTTTGAACCCAGGCCTCCTGCATTGCAGGTGGATTCTTTACCAGCTGAGCTATCAGGGAAGCCATAAGTAAGAAAAAATAAGTAGATAACCCATTAACAAAACACAGAAATGGTTATCCAACTGCTTTGTTCTGACTTAATTATGTCCCCTTTGGTGCTGGTTAGACTTTAGAAATTTGAAGTTCCAGTTTCCGGAGGACTCTAAGAGATTAAAATGGTTACTAGTTTAATACAGAAGGCAAAGTGCCATGCGATGGACACTTAGGAACATTTATAATTTAACGTTTATGTTATGGTTTGTTTCCTTTACATCCTGCCTCCTTCCAGGATTGAGGAAGCTCAAAAAAGTAAAATACCTTGGTTTTTTTTAAAAGTGGGGACATGAGATGGTTGGAAAATAAGTCTAAGAAAAACAGGTTTCAACAGGGATAAGGTTCACGCACAACATTTTCACCAAAATACAGTCCCCAGGGGCCCAGGGCCGGCTCTAGAAGAGACATGTATTTGGCCTGGCTGCTTGCCACAGAAGCAGAGGTGGAGAAATGATTAATAATTTGATTCATGGTGTATGCACACTGCTTCCAGCAGTGTTTGTGAAATGAAAGCTCACTGAGTCTGTAATTGCTGCCCAGTCGTGGTTAAGTGAGTTCCAGAGTCCAATGCCTGGTTTTGAATTCCAGTTCTGTCACTTACTAGGTGTGCAACTGTAAGCAGATTGCTTAACCTGTCTGTGTTCAGTTTCCCTACCACACTTCACAGGGTCGTCACGGGGAATAAGTGTGTTAACACATACAAATGACTTAGCTCAGCATCTGTAGTATGTGGTCTATAAGTATGAAATCTTTTTATCATCAGAAGCTGGAGAGATATTTTGGATTGAGTGAATACGAGTTTTGGATCTGGAGTCAGACTGCTCTTGAAATGTTGACTTCAATTGTTATTATCATTACCCTTATGATCTAAAAACAAATGCCATGTGAACACAAACTCTGTAAGAATTTTAAGTGGGAACATCATTAGGATAGCTGCGTGAGAAATTCCTGTATGATTCTGACTATGCTTTTGATTTCTAAGCTTTTCTCCAATGTACAGAAGAAAATGCCTTTCTAGAACCTTCCATAGCAAAGCCATCAGTCCACTCCCTCAGCATGCCCTACCTTCAGTTAGCTTCTAACCGACCAACTAACATTGAACCCGGCCTCTGAAAGGGAATGGACTTTGTTCTTGACCTCCAACTATAAAGCCTTCTGGTAATCAGAAGCCTTGTTCTGGGCAGGAGAATCTTACCCTCCATCCTGGCTATTTTTACAAGCGCCTTCATTGAACCTGGGCACACTGCAATTATTTCATTAGCACTGTGTGTTGTGATTGTGCATGTAGGGGAGAAAGGGAAAACACTTCTTACAATTGTATGTAATTTGGGAGCAATTTGGTTCCCCACAGCAGGTCGTCAGCATCACATTAATTACAGCCACAGCAATGAAACAGCTGCCAGGGACACAAAGCCTGTCTTCAGGGGACATGATCCAGACAGCATCCTTCATTAGGCTCCATTCTTGCTCCCCTGTTTATCCCGTAGCTGCATAATCCTTGACCTGAACTTTGAAGTTCAAACACAAGCAGAGGCCCTTTCATTCCACTCTCAGGGCGGGGAGTATTGATCATTCCAGAATCAGGGGGTGTTTGGGGATAAAGCCTTTGGCAGTCAGAGTTGGCACTTTGAGGGCATCTGGATACCTCCACAGCGTCACGCTGAGAGTAAATTCTAAACCCCTGCCCTGGCTTTTCTGACCGCTCTATTCATAATGCCTCCACCCCATCCTGCTCTTCTCTGTTGCAACACCCTATCTTCATCCCTTTCAGAGATGTTCTGAAAAGCATCTTATTAATACATGTCATTTATTTCAGCTTGTCTCCCTCCCTCCCAAGGACATCAAATGCACCAGCCTCATTCGCTGCGGTACCCGGTGCTTGGCACAGCACCACAAACAGTAGGTGCTCAGAAGATGCTCACAGAACGAGTGAGTCCCAGCACCTCACTGGCTGCTGGGGAGGGTAGAGGAGAGAGGACAAAGGCAAGCTCTGATGAGATGAAGCGACCCCTTGTTGTGGGTGTGGGGGTAAAAATGCAGGTTTGAGTCCAGATTAGTTTAATTCTAGCAACTGTAGCTCTAGGTGGGAATGCAGACCTGAGTAGGTTCGTGATGCAGTGAATGTATCAGGAACGCAGCTTCTCAACCGCAGACACAGTTACCACTGTATTCAGGACATGAGCATCTAAGTTAGTGGTTCACACACTTGCCCCTATCAAAAAAATTGCCCCAGGAGCTTGCGAAAATTTGAGGTCCCATTATATCTCCAAGCCAGTAGAATTAGGATAAGGAGAAACGTCAGGCAGCCCTGGAGACCCAGTTAGAAAGTAGCCAAACTGAAAGACTGGTCTCTCCATGGACCAAACAGAATTCACTAATGCTAGGTTTATTTTTGACCAATGATTAAGAACACCAACAATCTCTGTTGAAACCAAAATAAAGCTTTCTGGAGTTTCTCTGACTCTCTCACCTCTCTGCCTCATTTGAACAAAAGCGCCCCAAGTCACAGTCCTGACCATGTGTAATGAGCAAGGTGGCAACACAGGCTGTCTTGCAAATGAATGATGCAGATGAAAGACATGATTTAGCCTATCAGGTCCATGTTCTTAGAAGAGCTCACAGCATGCCAGGCACCACCCCACCCTCATACGTTAGACGTGCATGGTTACTTACTGATTTTGCAAAGCTGAAGAAGCTCTTGGTCTCCCCAGTCACCATGTTGGATGAACCTGCAAAAGGAAGACTCCCAAGTCAAGCTCATGAAAATCAATCTCTTGGTTCACAGGGAAGAATGGCAGTTGTTTGGCCCTGAACTGTCAAGAGCTTGAAAAGAAATTTAATTCAGCCTTGGAAAAATGAGGGAAATGGAGGGGGTGGGTGGTGTCAAGTTGACAATTTTAACTAAGTATCACTGGATCAAAGAGGAAGTAACATTTCTCAAGGCAACCATTTTCATCACTTGGGAAAATTGGTCCTGTGGCAAAATGTGATTTAAGCCAACATTCTAATAAAGTGATGGGCTGCCAAAATGTCTTGCTGGTTCCATTCTTGGAGACTGAGAAATGAACTCATTTGTGAGCTTCTTTTATGGTTTTAATTTGATTCCTTGGTGAGTGAGAGGCTTGGGGAGATGACATTGACTGGGCATTTAAGTGGTGGGGAGAGGCGGGGCTGGGCTAGAATTTAAATGGATGGAAATACAGGGTACAGAGCAACAGACGAGGGTGAAAACAGGCTCAGAAACCAAGGAGATGGTGTGAGTCATATGTTACCTCCAAAGAGGTCTGGACAGAAAGGAGAAAACCATCTGAGACCAAAGGTGTAGGTAACCAAGCTTTGCTAGTGAACTAGTGATATTCAGAGGGAAGACAGGGAGCTGAGTTAGGGAAGATTCCCTAAGATGCTCGTGCAGAAAGAAAAGACACCTTTCTGGGTTCTGGGTTGGGTGGAGTGTGAGAGATACTATACAATATTGGTGCCTTTTCAACAACTTCTCTGCTTTGCCCCCACAGGGACTAAGATCTTCTCAGAGAATCGTTAAATGAAAAAACAATGTCTGTCTTAAACTCACTTTTTTGGCATTGGTGAACTTCTCCTTTCATGGCATGGCTTTTATGAGATACAAACATCACAGCACTAGGCTTTCATTACTCAGTAGTCAAGTAATTGCTATAATGAATTAGATACTTGTGATATGATCAAGTTTTATTATACCAGAATCACATCGTGAAAGTAAGGCAAAAAAAACAGAACTCGTACATGAGCAACAATGGATAAAGTGTTCATCTGCATTTGACTCACATGTTAGTCATAGCCAATATCCATATGTTGTACATTGACATTCATAACTTCTCTTATCAATAGTAATAATTTTTAAATTATGCATCCGCCTCCAAAAACTTTCACTATTAATACATGGCCACTATGGATAACGCCAGAATACTCCAGCAATGAAAGCTTCTTCCTTATGTTTCTGTCACAATGATCTGATGATGACAAGATGATGCATGACCACTTACACCTTTCACGTATCTCTTTTATAAACTTCTCAGCTAATAGTACAGAACTGAGTATTTTTTCCCTGAGTTATACAGAAGTAAGGCTCAATTTTCTACTCTATTTCCATGGAACAGAGTGCCAAAAATCTCACACACTGGAGAAGCCCAAGATCATACGGCTTTGGAATGTGACATCTGGCTTCAGATATGTTTTTTTCTTTATGGAGACTAGTGTTTAAATTGCTTTCTATGCCTGTAACAAAGAGGAGAAGGGGAAGGAGGAGGAGGTGGTGTTGGAGGGGGAAGACAAGGAGGCAAGGAAGAAGAGGGAGGAAAGAGAAAGAGGAGGCTCTGGGGTCTCACTCTGCTGGAGGAAACCTCTCCGAGATGTCCTTCATAAATCCCCCAGACCCAAGACCGTGTAAGTGAATGTACAGGCAGGCATGGACTCCATCCCTTCAGAGCTTCTGTCTTGATTGGGACATACAGGAGTAGTTTAGAGGAAGGAAATTCTGTACTTTGCAATTTCACCTTCAGTAATGAAGATCTCCCCATTTATCCCCAGCACCCCCACCACTGCCTGCATCCTATCCACTCCTCTCCATCCGCCTGTGGGTCCTTTATTGCTTCCTTTTTGGAGCTTCCTTTGAAGCTGTTAGTGTTTCCCTCCTGTGCCACCTACTGTGGCCGGGTTTCATCTCATCACTGCCTTGGCTTGGCCTGGCTTTATTTCTTCTAGAATGAGACATGCTCATAGGATAATAGTGCAGTAGGCACTTTGATAGTCGAAAACAATGAACAGCGATAGCAATGTTATAGAAAACATGAAAAAATTGAGACCACCCCCATCTTATCCTGCCAACGTATCAGCACATCTCATCTTTCAGAGCCTTTGCAAGCACCCATGCAGTGCTCCCTGCCCCCCGCTTCTGTTGAGCACTCACCATATAAAATGTAGGTCCCCAGTGGTTTGAGAAGGCTGAGGCCTTTCCCGGTGTTGTCTCCACAGAGGCAATCCAAAACAATGTCCACTCCTTCAGCAGAGATTCTAAATGGCAAGACGACAAAGTAAAATATTGTAACCTGTCAAGGAACAAACTGTCAGGCCCTCTCCCCTCCCATGTCATACTGTTGACTCTCAGGAACACAGAGAGTTCTGAGAGCATCAAAACATACAGAAGAAGCCTGGGAGGCAGAGGTATCCTCCTGAGTCCATCTCAGAGAATTTCACAAAGCTGGAGGATGCTAAGAACCCAGCTGGTGGTGCCAGCATGGAATGTCACAGTCTGTCTAGCCGCCTCACTCAACGTCTCTGAGCCTCAGCTTTCTTCTTTGGAAAGTGGACCTAGCATGTCTTTTTGTGCTAGGAATGAAGTGAGATGACAAATGTGATGCTTGGCCCATTGCTAACCACAAAATAGTCACTTTGTAAGTCAATCAACAGCTCATATTTGTGGAGCTTGGGTCGTGTGACCGACTCTGTCCAAGGTGCTGAAGACAGAGTGCTACAACCAAGCAAGCTCTCTGTCTTCATGGGGCTTCCAGTCTAGCAGGGTTTGGCTTTTTCCTTCTCCACCTCCCTCCTCAGTGAATCTATAAAGGCACTAATGTAACTTGTAAACTTCTGTTTGTCCAATCTCCAGGTTCAATGTATAAATATACTCTCAGAGGAAGAGGGTTAAATAGAGGGGATCTTCCTACAGTAATGGAGGGTTCCAGCAAAGAGGGAATCCACATACATCTTCTATTGGGAAGATTCCTTCATCCATTTTTTATTTAACACTTAGTAATTCACTTACTCATGCACTTAATAAACATGTACGGGACTTCCTGGGTTAAAAGAGATTATGCAGGAGGGGCTGTAGGACTGGAACTCTCTGAGGACGTGTAGGGAAAATATTCCTGCCCACAGTGTTACCCATTGTAGCTGGACCCTGCTCTGGTCAGACAAGAAAGGCATTTCCTCAGATTTGTCCGTTTTCAGGGGTTATCTTGTCTTAGCACATCACTCAGTTTTTCTACCCCCACTTCCATCCCTCAGCGAAGTTCAGGCACTAGCTAGCATCACCAGCTGTGTCCACAGTGTCACCAACTAGGAAATTACACATGCACCCACTGGGCTCAGATGCAAAGTTGATCTTCTCCTGCCCCAAGAGCTGATTCTTAACATGAGTGTGCCCTTTAAAAGCCCTCAGGTCTTATCCAAAACACAGCCCATTACAGAGGCTCTTCCAAAGTGATCAGCTTTGCTCTCTACCCAATAGAGGGCTTATCTCAAAGGTGTGTCTGTTCAAGTCCCATCTGTAAATTAGCTGAGCATTGAACAATTGACGCTTTTGAACTGTGGTGTTGGAGAGGACTCTTGAGAGTCCCTTGGACTGCAAGGAGATCCAACCAGTCCATCCTAAAGGAAATCAGTCCTGAATATTCATTGGAAGGACTGATGCTGAAGCTGAAACTCCAATACTTTGGCCACCTGATGTGAAGAGCTGACTCATTTGAAAAGACCCCGATGTTGGGAAAGATTGAGGGCAGAAGAAGAGGATGACAGAGGAGAAGATGGTTGGATGGCATCACTGACTCGATGGACATGAATTTGAGTAAACTCTGGGAGTTGGTGATGGACAGGGAGGCCTGGTGTGCTGCAGTCCATGGGGTCACAGAGAGTCAGACACAACTAAGTGACTGAACTGAACTGAGAGAATTAGGCCAGTGGATCTCAAACCTGAGTGGGCCCAAGGATTTGCATTTCTAAGAAGTTCCCAGCTGCTGCTGTCGCTGCTGCTGATTTCAGCTGCACACTGTGAAAGCCCCTGGTTTAAGGTCAAGGCAGCACTGTTTAATTAGTAATTAATTTGCTCATTGAATATTGAGCACTGGTACTGCCCTAGGCATGGGGGATGTCATGGTGAACCCAAACAGATTTGATTTCTCCTCCTTTTCTGGAGCTTACTTTAGGCAGATATGAATCAATCATTATACAAATAAAAATTAAATTGAAATCGAATGGGGTCCAGTGCCACAAAGGTGCCATGAGACTGTTTACAGAGGGTCTGCCTGATCAGGGCTGCCAGAGAACACATCCCTGGCATCCCTGGGGAAGTGATGAGTAGCAGGTGGAGGAGATATATGGGTGAAGAGAGGTGGTAACAGGGTCCCAGGCAGAGGGAACAGCATGTAGACAGGGTGCTCAGGGCTGGTGCACTGGGATGATCCTGAGGGACGGGATGGGGAGGGAGGTGGGGGGGATGTTCAGGATGGGGGACACACGTGCACCCATGGCTGATTCATATCAGTTCAGTCGCTCAGTTGTGTCTGACTCTTTGCGACCCCATGAATCACAGCACGCCAGGCCTCCCTGTCCATCACCAACTCCTGGAGTTTACTCAAACTCATGTCCATCGAGTTGGTGATGCTATCCAGCCATCTCATCCTCTGTCGTCCCCTTCTCCTCCTGCCCCCAATCCCTCCCAGCATCAGGGTCTTTTCCAACGAGTCAGCTCTTTGCATCAGGTGGCCAAAGTATTGGAGTTTCAGCTTCAGCATCAGTCCTTCCAATGAACACCCAGGACTGGTCTCCTTTAGGATGGACTGGTTGGACCTCCTTCCAGTCCAAGGGACTCTCAAGAGTCTTCTCCAACACCACAGTTCAAAAGCAGCAATTGTTTAGCACTCAGCTTTCTTCACAGTCCAACTCTCACATCCATACATGACCACTGGAAAAACCATAGCCTTGACCAGATGGACATTTGTTGGCAAAGTAATGTCTCTGCTTTTTAATATGCTGTCTAGGTTGGTCATGACTTTCCTTCCAAGGAGTAAGCGTCTTTTAATTTCATGGCTGCAGTCACCATCTGCAGTGATTTTGGAGCCCCAAAAAATAAAGTCTGACACTGTTTCCACTGTTTCCTCTGATTCATATCAATGAATGGCAAAAGTCACTACAATATTGTAAAGTAATTAGCTTCCAATTAAAATAAATAAATTCATTTTAAAAATCTTTAAAAAAATTAATTCTCCATAATGATCAAAATTGATTGCTTCACAAGAGAAAAAATGCTCAATGTTGCTAATTATTAGAGAAATGCAAATCAAAACTACAATGAGGTATCACCTCACAGCAGTCAGAATGGTCATCATCAAAACATCTACAAACAATAAACCCCAGAGAGGGTGTGGAGAAAAGGGAGCCCTCCTACACTTTTGGTGGCAATGTAAATTGGTGCAGCCACTATGGAAAAACAATATGGAGGTTTCTTTAAAAACTAAAAATAGAACTACCATATGATCCAGCAATTCCACTCCTGAGCATGTGTCTGGCAAAAACACAATTCAAAGAGATACGTGCATCCCAATGTTCACTGCAGCACTATTTACAACAAAGACATGGAAGCAATCTAAATGTCCGCTGACAGAGAAATGGATAAAGAGGATGCACTATACACAAACAGACACACACTGCAATATTGCTCAGCCACGAAAAAGCATGCAATAATGCCATCTGCAGCAACGTGGATGGACCTAGAGATTATCATGCCAACTGAGGTAAGTCAGAAAGAGAAAGACAAACACCATGTGATGTCACTTATATGTGGAATTTTTTAAAATGGCACAAATGAATTTATTTACAGAACAGAAATGGACTCACAGACTTCTAAGACAGACTGTGGCTATCAAAGGGGGAAGGCTGGGGGAGGAGTGAAGGAGGAGATTGGGATTAAAAAAAAATAACAAATTGTAGTAAGGGCATTTCATTTCATCAAACTTTCATTTCCATCTACGTATTTTTAAAATATGAGGGTGTGTGAGTTTATATAAACATGCAGAAGTATATGTGCATGAAACAAATGTGTATGTAAGTAAGTCCTGAGTCTGAACCACTATAAGATGAGTTTTTCATGGTGTGTAATAGTAGAAAAAAGGGGTTACAAACTCTCCTTTGTAAATGTTCTTTTCTTCTGGTTTGTACACTAATTGAAATAAAGCTATTTAGAATGTTAGAAAATAAAAAAAAGGGAGGGAGCCTGCTGCACAGTGGGGCTGGAGAGGCGGCGGGAGGCGGGGCACAGATGCTGCTGAGGCCGGCTGAGCCCGCCCTGCTGGGGAGCTGCACACCTTCCTTTCTCACGTCCGCGGTCAGTTCTGCTCCCTCCTGTGGAAGTGAGAGCCTGCCCTGCCTCTTCTAGCCAGCCCTCCCGGACCAAGTCCTCCCTGTGAACTTCACTTCCTTAAGACCTTTCCGTCGGCCTGCAGGATGCAGCCCAGGTGCAGGAGTGGCCTCCCCGACACCAGGCTGTGGACACCTTCCGGGGCATCCCCGCTGGCCCTGCCTGTCCTCTGCTCCCCACTTCCTGTCCGGGTCTCCTCACACCCACGTTCTGCTCATGGGCCCACAACCTCCCCTCTGCCCATCCCAGGTCCTTGCACTGGCTGCCTGGCCTCGGCCTGCGGCTCTAGCCTCTGGTCTGTGGTTCTACAGAAATGCAGGGCATGCCCACAGAAACACGTGGCCATATGCTCTGCCCACTTCCCCATCCTCACCTCTGACTCACCACCCTAGACACCCTGACTTTCCAGCTATTCCTAAAGCCTCACATTCAAGGGCACCTGTGTGCCAGGCACAGCACAAGTCTCATCTCAGGAGGCCTCGTGCCAATCCCGAGACTCAGGGCCATTTGATGGATGAGGAAACAGGCTCAGTGGAGTCAGCTGACTGTGTGGGGAATAGGAGGGCCCTGGTTTGAGCCGGACGCCAAGTGAGAGTCCCAGAGATGGAGCAGTTTTGTAGGGTGGATTGTGGCCAAGCCGGGGGTGACTACCACTGCCACTTATAGTTCCCAGTGGAGGCTGAGCAGAGAGTCAGGCAAGACAGGGTTTGCCCGTGCACAGAGCTGGAAATAAGCCACAAATTTGCTGTACATTGCTGACATCACATCCTTTTGAAGGTCAGTGGTGCAGTGGGGCTGAAGGGAAGGGAGGAGATGGATTCTGAGGATGAGAACCTGGGTAGAGGCTGGTGCCATTCCTGGGGGCCCTGAGGGTGAGAAC